CAACAACAACAACAACAACGTTATAAACACAAGGAGCGCACGAACTACAACTGACATAATTCAACAAGTGTCCTCTTCTGCACCTGCTTCAAGTGCCACATTTCATCATCTCAGCAATGGGGTAATTATAACAAACAACAATAGTTCTCTTACTGGAAGTCAATTGGTAGTTGAAGCGAGGGCTACCAACCCTAAGCAAAACAACAACAGAACAATAAATGATTATGAATTCACTAGAAATATTAGTGGTACAATCGCAACTTTGAAAGGCAGTTCAAGAGTGTCGCATTCTTCGAAATCATCATCAACACATACGAACAGTGCAACTGATGAAGCAGTTAATGATTCAAGCATCACGGGTAAGTTTTCTGCTACATAATCTAGGATAAAGAATTTCGTTGGGACCCCACTGTAATCCAGGGGTTATTTAGATAATAAACCCGATATGAAAAATGTAGAGAGCAAACAATTTTTGGCACAGAAGTATTTCTTGCTCTACATATTTACATAAATGAGGTACCATTGGAAAGGTAATGAACCATGCTTTCTCTGTTCAAAAGCGAAAAAACAGATATTTGTTTCGGTAGACATCAAATGCAAATGAATTACTCGAAGAATATGAAATTCCTAGTGGGCATGAAAAAAGAAAATTTCATCAAAACCAGCGCCTTCTAGCAACTAATTTTGTGTTGTGTAAAGTCTAATAGGAGTGGCAAATAAACTGAGATACGAACTTTATTGGATAATCGCGGATAACGAGTTTGTTTGCGGGTCTAACGAAATGAATTAGCTAAAATTAAATTTAAGTTAACACCGTTTTACTTTAGCATGAAATATTCGGTCCTAGTTTACTAAAATCCCAAAGTCATTAAAAAGAACATATCTAAAAAAAATATGACCAAATGGTATTTTAACAACTGCTGCATAAATCACAAAACACCAACAACTTAAACATTGAATTTCAGTTTCTTGGTAGTCTTCCAAATAAAATCCCGTCCCGCCATACACTTTGATTTCCTTTTTCTAGTTGTTATTGTTTTGTCTTTATCACGCAATTCTAAAAACATTTTTGACGTTGTTTTGAAATTTAGCGATATAAAATAATTTAATTAATATTTTCTAGAACATGGGAATAATACACTGTGCGGCGCACGTAAAATATTAACCGATTTCAAATAAAAAAAAATACGGGTCTCGTTATTTTCGATATTCCTCAGATTTGGGCAGCATGAAAAGAAAAAAAAGTATTTTCCTGTGTAGATTTAGCCCATCATAATGCACATACATATGGGTGTTTCCATGATGACGGACGTGACATTCATACGAAAACGGAAGTCCTTTGGTTGACAAAAAAATTACGTGCGCTTCGAGCACTGGTGTCGGGAAAATCGATGAAAAGGAGGTCATAACGGACGTGACAAAAACAGAAGTGGTTTCAGTGTGCATGTAAAAATAAGCAAAATTGCGAATCCTGTGAGGTTTTTCTTAAACATTCTTTCAATAAAGTCAAATTACGGACCATTAGAACCAATTCGTTTTCAATGAGAAGAAATTCGTCGTTGCTTTTATTTTGAATTAAAATGGGATAACGGGCGTGACATTTCGGACAAATTTTACCGCCATATAATATTTTTACTAGTAATACATATATAATTTAATTTTTTACTTAATTTTTTTCAGTTCTTCTCTCCACCGTTTCGCGCTTTTATAACCTTTTTTCGCCATCTGAATACGAAATTTAAAGTTACAAAGTCGGTTGAACTCATTTACTTGCATTTTCGGTTTACATTTTATTAAAAAAAACGCCCTTATAACGGGTGATTTTTTTGAGGTTAGGATTTTCATGCATTAGTATTTGACAGATCACGTGGGATTTCAGACATGGTGTCAAAGAGAAAGATGCTCAGTATGCTTTGAAATTTCATCATGAATAGACTTACTAACGAGCAACGCTTGCAAATCATTGAATTTTATTACCAAAATCAGTGTTCGGTTCGAAATGTGTTTCGCGCTTTACGTCCGATTTATGGTCTACATAATCGACCAAGTGAGCAAACAATTAATGCGATTGTGACCAAGTTTCGCACTCAGTTTACTTTATTGGACATTAAACCAACCACACGAATGCGTACAGTGCGTACAGAAGAGAATATTGCGTCTGTTTCTGAGAGTGTTGCTGAAGACCGTGAAATGTCGATTCGTCGCCGTTCGCAGCAATTGGGTTTGTGTTATTCGACCACATGGAAGATTTTACGCAAAGATCTTGGTGTAAAACCGTATAAAATACAGCTCGTGCAAGAACTGAAGCCGAACGATCTGCCACAACGTCGAATTTTCAGTGAATGGGCCCTAGAAAAGTTGGCAGAAAATCCGCTTTTTTATCGACAAATTTTGTTCAGCGATGAGGCTCATTTCTGGTTGAATGGCTTCGTAAATAAGCAAAATTGCCGCATTTGGAGTGAAGAGCAACCAGAAGCCGTTCAAGAACTGCCCATGCATCCCGAAAAATGCACTGTTTGGTGTGGTTTGTACGCTGGTGGAATCATTGGACCGTATTTTTTCAAAGATGCTGTTGGACGCAACGTTACGGTGAATGGCGATCGCTATCGTTCGATGCTAACAAACTTTTTGTTGCCAAAAATGGAAGAACTGAACTTGGTTGACATGTGGTTTCAACAAGATGGCGCTACATGCCACACAGCTCGCGATTCTATGGCCATTTTGAGGGAAAACTTCGGAGAACAATTCATCTCAAGAAATGGACCGTTAAGTTGGCCACCAAGATCATGCGATTTGACGCCTTTAGACTATTTTTTGTGGGGCTACGTCAAGTCTAAAGTCTACAGAAATAAGCCAGCAACTATTCCAGCTTTGGAAGACAACATTTCCGAAGAAATTCGGGCTATTCCGGCCGAAATGCTCGAAAAAGTTGCCCAAAATTGGACTTTCCGAATGGACCACCTAAGACGCAGCCGCGGTCAACATTTAAATGAAATTATCTTCAAAAAGTAAATGTCATGGACCAATCTAACGTTTCAAATAAAGAACCGATGAGATTTTGCAAATTTTATGCGTTTTTTTTTAAAAAAAAGTTATCAAGCTCTTAAAAAATCACCCGTTACATATGTATGCTTGAGGTGCAAAAGAAACACGCATCTGCATTTGCCTAACTGTTTGAGTCTATCGGTAATACTATGTAGTATTTCGTTAGCGCATATAAAACTTGGCCTTAGGCCCTAGTGTGTCCAACCAAATTAACCAACCGGATTTATATCTAAAAGTGGTTATAGTCGTTATATAAAAGTATATATAGTTAAATCTAAAAGTTAGTATAATCCTGGGTATTAGATGTACGTTGGATGAGTGGTGTTTCGTTTTTAATATTTACAATATTTTTCAAGCTAAAATTTTTGTGATATTTTTTTTTTATAAAAATATGGTCATGCTTTAACAAAACCTATATAAATCACACTTTTAAATTTTATACCGAACTTAGAAAAATTCCACAAATTTTTATCGAAATTTCGAACTTTTTAACCAGAATTTTGAGAAATTTTTGGGTATGCAGTGATGTGATAAAATGAATCGCTGTCAGCACTCCGCAAGGTTGCAAACAAATTTATGTTCGAAAAATATCTTGATATGGAAGGAACCGCTTTACACTGTCAAGGCAAAAATTGCCAAAACTCAATGCAATTTTAAGCAACTTCAATCTTGCACTTTGTTATACTAAAATGAATTTTTTTAGAGTCTAATTAAAAAGATTGCAATTTAGGTGAATCCCGTTCTTTAAACTTTGTCAGCTTAAAAATTACCTATTGGTCCTTGTGAATCCAAAAAATTTAAATTTTTTTAAATCCTAAAGAAATTTCCTATTGCATTTGTTATACATATTTTTATTCTACATTGCATTGAATTTGTTTAATAATTTTTGGAATTAATCATATCTTTGAAATTACAATGTCCTACAAAATAAATCCTGCGGTCAGAGAAAAAAAATAAAAACGCCTCTTTAAATAAAAAAGTAGGTTTCAAACCCATGAATTTATTATTTATTTCATGGTAGGAGAGCTTTTCAAACAATATAGAAGCAATTTTGTCGATTCATCTCGAAAAGCCCGGGATCGGAAAAAGCCGAAAAATTAACATCCCTAGTCTCTATATCATCATATAGCCGAGGAATTTACTAGAACACTTTTGAAACAAATATGTATTATATTCATATACCAGTTTACTTTAGTATCGATCGTTTACGTGGAGCAATCGTCATAAGAGAGCCGCTCGGAAAATTTTGTGTGCAGTTTTTTTTTTTATAAACAAAATAACTTTACGAATATAAATAACAGACTAAATTTTTATTTGCACGTTTGCAAATGTGCGATTTTTAATTATTCATAATTTTTTTATTTTCATTGCCTAAAAAGTAATAAAAATATGTTTTTGTTATTTCAGTAAACTAAATATCATGTTTGTTATTATTTAAATAAGCTCAATCTAACGAAAATTAAAAAGCGTTATTATTTGTTATATCTTATTTACTATTCATGTACAATTTTTCAAATTAAAAAAATTTCTAGGTTGAAAACAAATATAATTAATTTTTATTTATGGATATTTCTTTCCGCCTATTTTGTATGTGGGTATCCGGGTACCCCGTATTGACTATTCGTGTACATGTTTTCAAATTCAACATTTTTTAGGCTGAAAAGAAATATAAAATATTTTAAAAGCATTTCTTCATGTGAAATCAGTCAAATTGTCGAGATCACACACTAATATTGAATAGGGAAAAAATAAAATCGAAATTAAAATAAAGAGCTTTTGTGGGATCAACTACATAGTCCTTTCTTTGCGTTAAAGCCACTACGCATATTCAAGTGAATAAAAACAGATCGAATACCTTTTTATTATCCAAAATTAAATAACTATTCTAATTCTTAATTTACATATTATGTATGTATATGATTTTGTTTTATATTTGTATTTTTTCTTTTCGATTTCTTATAGAGGATACATTTTCCTCAAAATCTAATAAAGTGCAGGAACACCAAGAACAATTACTCCTACAACAAATACAAGATGAGCATAGTAAAGGGAACAGTGGTCCCTGTAATAAATCGAAAACGTATAGACTTGTGGAAAGCGGTGGCGAGATTGTTGTTGTGACCGCTGCTGCTAACAAGCAAATGTTGCTGAATGATGGGCTGCGTGTTGCATCGCCGGCGGCAACATTGGGGGATGCATCGTCCAAAGCGATTAGCATACCCAAACAGACGCAGCAGCATCACTCGGTAGCGTCAAAACTTTTGCTGGTCAACAGCACTTCCGCCCCGCATTCATTACGTTATAAGTCTACCGAGCCTCTTACCCCACCACCCGTCGCGAGTAGAAAAGTTGATGACACGCACACGCGCATTCGCAGTTTTTCACTTTCTCATAAAATTCCAGCAAACCACCAACCACTTTTAAACAATGGAGACCATGGAGAAATGATCGTTGAGGACCGAAACGTAATGCATTGCATTGGGGGTGACCATTCACCGTCACGACAGAACTCGACCGGTAGTCATTACTTACAGTTGATGTCAGCGCAACATGCAGCAGTGGGTTCGCAAATAATGCACGTGACACCCACGATCGGCGGCAGCGGTCGGAGACGAACCATCAGTTCCAATAGCAATGGGTATGTACATATGTAACATATCGTCCTTTAAAGTACAAAACCGCGTATCAACAAAATGCAAAACTGCATATGTGAGGTTGCATAAATTATTTTCCAGAGAGTAAGAACACTCATATTTCAAAATTGTTCTCTTTTTCATAAAGCAATAGCACTTCTGGCTAGTATATTTCAGGACGAATGGATAAGGATTGAGCCAAGAGCTCATGTGAGCAAATCCTATTTTTGGCTGCCAATGTCAGTTACGCCGTTTTGTACTTTAAACGACGATATACATAGATACGCGTTCATGCATGGTCTGTATTTTTAATAAACATACATTATGTACATGTGAAAATATACCCACACATACATACATACATAAACAAATAGGTATAATTCATACATGCACACTTGAAGGCCCTACACTCGCATTGATTTTCCAGTTGACCAACCTACTTAACGAAATTCCCAACAAACGCACCAACCAGTTGGCCGATTTCATTTGAGTGAGAGTTTTCGAACTGTACACAATACAACAGCACTGGCAAACTTTTAAGCTATGCTAGGAATGCCTCTCATTTTTATGTATTTGTTATTGCTACCGCCCCCGTTTTCACAAATTATACGCATTTTCACTAGCGAAACGAACCGAAAAACACATGTTAACGTTAATGTGGCTTTAAAAAAAAAAATTAAATCGCATTTTAGGTTGCCAAATAGTCTACACAGAGAGCGACAAGTTGACCAGTCTGCCTCAAAAATCAAAAATTTAACTCCAACCTGACGAACAACTTGACGAAGGTTTGCCAACTTGCCTACGCACGGCTTATTTATCACCGACTTTTAGCGGTTGGCCAACTAACTGGTTGGCCGATAAATTGATCCGTGTGCAGGGCCTTTTAGGCATGTACAAAGCACAAGTACATACATATCGCTCATTCAACTCGAGAAACGAAATGTTTCAGAAGATGCGGAAAGATTTTAGTGGGAAATTTATACACATATACGATGTAACGAGTAATTCTGCATCATTTGGTCATAAATTTCGTTTTTGACTTATGGTAGTCTTTTAGTAATTGAGTGATATACTAACCAAGGTATGTGAAATAGGCAGTAGCATTCGAGCAAAAACAATATTTACGTGTATTTTGCTGTTGCTTCTGGTATCTAAAATGTCAAAAACTGTTCTGATTTTTCTTTTAAATCAAAGTATGCCATGTAAAAAATTGAAATTAGAATAATCAAGGTGTTGTCAGTAGCGACGTGTTTGTTGTAATTTTGACAAGATCGGCATGCTTTTTTTCAGTGCTGCCGATCTTAATTTTTATAATGCTATTAGTTGGGAAATTGTATTTAAAATACTCCATTTTAGTATTTCATTTTATCGCGATTTTTAAAGAACTTGGAGTTTTCAGAACGATATTAATATATAAAATTGCTGGATTTGTATAATTTTTGTCCTCAAAATATAAAATATAAAAGGTGTCGTAAGGCGATTTTTTTATATTTAATATCTTTTGCTGCATTGTCATAATATCGAGCCAAATGGACTACTGATACACTAGAATAGAGCGGCAGTAAGTAATATAGATATATATATATCATGTAAGCGGCTATTTTATGTATTTTTTTTGTAAAGGCAAAAAACCATTTACTATTTCACTCAAATTCAATTTGACAAAACAACTTGTAATGGGATAAGATGATTTTTTGTTTGAAAA